TCGAATCCAAGCCCACTCGATAACAAACCGAGTGTCTTAACTACCATACTGGGTGGGGCAGCATAGAAAGATTTCTAATGATTGATTGGAACTAAGTTTTTTTCGCCTTTTGAGATGGGGAGACTAAATGAAAATCCTTAAAAGAGGAAATGAAAATGCGTTAAGTTTAGCCTCTCCAATATAACCACAAATACTTAGCAGCTTTTAATTTGAAGAGGAGCCAATACGAAAAAAATGGGCCATGACTAGAAAATAATTGTGTAACCAGGGCCAGCTATCTGGGGAGATGGATATTAAGCAGCGGGGCTATAGAGAAGCCCCAACATGATCAAGAAAAATATTATGAACTTGTTTGCATATGAAAACATTGCAATATTCCTATCGTTGTCAATGTAACGAAAAGTACATTTTATCGCAAATTATTACTAAGGGTCTCTGAATTTCACAAATCTTCAAAACCAATTCTTGATGTGAGTGTTAAGTTTTTATTACTTGATTCACCCAAAACTACTGAGGAAAAGAATCTCAACACACACACCATATAGCCAATGCTTAAAAAAAAAATGCAAATAAAACACATTCCTGTGTTTTTCTCTAGCTAATATTTAGTAATTGCGCATTCGTAATCAAACACAAAATTTTAAAATAATCGAGCCAGACAAATTTACCTTTTTATGGAAACTTTGCCAGCTTTACATTTACGGTTGATTGATTGATTGAATTTTAACGTCGCACTGTTTAGCTACACGACGGCTTTTGGCGACGGACCACGTAATTTTGAACCATGGTCAAGTGACGTGGACGACACCTGAGCTGGTACCCCCCTCTCCTAGCAACCACACCACACCAACGGGAGAGCGTTTCAGCTCTTGACAGATTTAACGTGCATCGCTGCCCTACACGGTGGGTGTTTAGTGGTACTGGGCTCTAACTAGTGACAAGGCAAACCACGATCCGATACCTAAACCACTCGGCTATCGCAGAATTTACCTCTTACGGAGTGCCAGCTATCAAGTACATTTTTGGTGTCATGGGTGGATTAGAAGCTAGCTGGCTGAGGAGAGAAGTTAACGGCCGGACTGAAGCTAAGTGAAAATTGCCTCTGGGAGGATATGAAGGGTTGTTACTAGTCTCGCGGGGTGACTCTGTCACCCCAATTCTTTTTTATAATTGTTTTTATTGTATGTGATAAGATAAAGTATACTTTCGTACTTTTAAGAATTTAAAAATTTTTTTGTTGATAATTTGAGGAAAAAAATGCAATCAAACTGAACTAAAATGTTTCAAGTAAGCGTGGCTTTAAGGTATCCCGACTACGCCCCGGAACTGTGTTTTTAAAAAAAACCCTTCATAAAGGGATAATTTTCATGATGTTTAGTGTCACTTAGATTAGAATACATTTAAAAATTTTGAAATTGGGGACGTTATGAAAAAAAACAAACTTTTTAAATACAATATTTTAGAAAAAAATGAATTTAGAAAAACCCTTTTTAAAAACGTTCCCCCCAAAAAAAAATGTTTTATAAAAAAATAATAATTTTTTGGGTTATATAAAGTGAAGATTTCTCCAGAGAGTTTCAATTGGGATTTTAAAAAATTTTTGGATTTTTTTAAGAGTTACTCCCAATTAAAATAATTATCGACATTTTTTTTTTAAAAATTTCTCCCCCTCTTTTTTAGAAAATAGGGAAAAACCCATTTCTAAGTTATATTTTTTAAAAAAATTTAGTTCAACCCCTGTACGGCCGGGGACCCAAAGTGGAAGGTATCGGATCGTCGCTTCCCCAACCCAACCGTTTGGGCCCAGTACCACTAAAGACCCCCCTTTGTATTTAAAAGGAGGGGTTAAATCTGTCAAGAGCTGAAATTTCCCCTCCCGTTGGTGTGGTGTGGTTTTTGGAGAGGGGGGTGATGCTCAAAGGTGTCGTCCACGTCCACTTAAACCAGGGTTTCCCAAAATTACGTGGTCCGTGGGCCAAAAGCCCTCTTTAGTTGAACGGGCACGTTAATATTCAATCTATCAATCCCCTTTCTGTACAGGGTCTGAGTTTATATACATGCAAAATATTATTATAATAGAAGGATTTATCAAAAAAGGGAGAATGTTTTAAAATGGGAAAATTTTTTTCTTTTTTTTGTCAAAATATTGTACTTAAATAATTTATTATTATTATATTTTTAAAACAATTTTATATACGTTTTCTAATCTAAGTGATACTAAATATCATAAATATTATCCATTTATGCGCTTTTGCAAAATTACGGTTCCGTAGTCGCATACCTTAATGAAGGACATACATTACAGACACTTTTCTCTAACATTACAGAGGAAAAATACTTTTTAAAAAAGGGAAAAATGCCCTATTTTTTTTCCATCTTAAAATTTTAACCGGGGTTTAAAAGTAGCCTGCTGAGCCTTTTTTTCGCTTTTGGTCCCTTTTACAAAGGGGCATCTGACTGACCACCTGATCGGAACATCTGCTCATGCATCTCACCCAAGGTCACGAGTACTTAGATGGACACAGTAGGCCTTGGGATTTGTGTACCGTTGCACTACTGGAGTTTAGTTTTTATATAAACTACATAAAATTTATGTTTATATTTTATGTATAATGTATGAATGTGTAATACGAAATAAAAAAAATCATTGATTAAAAATATAAATTTAAATTTTGTTAAAATAAAAAAAATATAAACAATATTGAAACCTAAAATTCATCAATAAAATTTAAGTGAGAAGGATTCATAGATTTCGACTTATCAGGAAACCATACACATTAAAAAAAATTATATATATATATATATATAAAGTATTGAATAGCTTGTGTGTGTATGATTTACAAATAACATTTTCACGCAAACAGAGACGATTGAAGTCTAGACAAAGTTACAAAACTTATTAAATCAAATTTACTTCGAGGAAATTCTCGCCGTAACACAATTGATTTCATAATTCTGGTAATATTGGCACTCATGAAATTCACCGAATTCTTTAAATTGTGATAAACTTAAGAAATAGTTTAACAGAAGTGGCTACGATTTCGTATAAAATCTTTTGAACAGAATGCGTTTAAATTGTTTTTCTTATTCCAAAAGTTGGTTCAAATTTAACAAAAGTCTTCAATGTTTTGTGTGGAATTATTTCATTTTTTTTCCGGGAACATCTTAGGATAGTATTTGGAAATGAACATATTTTCTTTTAAGTCTGATAATTTCTGATGGGAAGATACGTTAAGGTAATCCATTGTTCTTTTATGATTAGCTATAAGGGCACAGAAAATAGATATTTTGTTTCGTTAAAACATACATCTAAAATTTTCCTTTTCATTTTACCTCCAAACAAGCATTTGAACGCTTCTATAAAATAGAATACAATACTTTTAATCTTAAAAACTAAATAAAAAAATCTCCCTTTCAGCATATTTTGAAAGCTTATTCTTCATTTCTTTTCTCAACCCGGAAAAAAACATATCGCAAATAATTGAAAACTGTTCGAAATTTCTTAGGCTTAACTGAACACAAAGACATGGAACACAGGAAATGTTAAAACACAAGTAAGCTTTATACTATTCGTAATACATGAATATAATAATAGTATATGGATAGTTTTCTTTTATTTACAGTTTATATCAACGATTCTCAACCTGTGTTTTCGTCCCGGTACACTTTTAACAATTTCAAAATTTGGCGACACATTAACAATAAAATAAGCTTACAAGAATTTTAGTTATCTGTTATACACTATGTAATATAGTTTATGACAATAGTTTTCAACGTTAAATAAAATATTATAAACAAAAAAGTCAATAAAATGTTTATTCAGTAAATAATTATAAATAATTGTACGAATACATTTAATGCAAAATTTTATATTTGATCATTTCGTTTACATTTTGTCGTAAAAATGATAATCCCATTCTCATTTTGTCATTTATATTTCAAAGTTTTGATCTTGTTTTATTATTTTTTTTCTTTTTTTCTTCTTTTGAATACCGAAAATTTAAATTCATACAAATTAGATGTAAAAATATTTTATAGCTTTTTTGGCTAATATGAGATAATCGCTTCTAATTTTAATCCAAAATGAATTAATTTTCATTTTGAAATTAAAGAGATAAATTGGTATTACCTTTCATTGAAAGTTAATTCATATCTACATATGTATCCGTTATCACAAAGGGATTTCCAAATTTTTTTTTTACATCTAAATTTGTGAAGTAATGAATAAATTTCTGCTTTATTTCTATAAAACTTCCAAATGATTCGATTTCTAATTTTTAAAATTTTTTCTCAGAGTATAATAAATAATTAAAAAAAAAATGTGGCGACACACTACAAGAATGGGTCTACACACAAAAGTGCCGCAGCACAGTGGTCGAGAATTACTGGTCTTTTTTCCAAGTGGTAAGAATTTGAAAAGAAAATATAACTATTATTTTTAGATTCCAGGATTGGTAAGTTAATAAAAAAATAGAACTAAAAATAAAATTTCAAAAAAAATTAAGAATATAAAATTTTAATAAAAAGCAAGAGAGAGAGAGTGTGTGAAAAATAAATCTTGGCAAAAACAAAATTTGATAAATTTCGGGAAACAACCATTTTATTTTTACC